GGGATTGCATCTTTCTATTGCTTGCTAAAACAAATATATATATTAGGGAATTATGCATCTTTCTATTGCTTGCTTTCTAAAACAAATATATATATATATATATATATATATGGGAATTATGCATCTTTCTATTGCTTCAAGTCCTGCTTTCCAAGTTTCAAGCATAAACCCATCTCCCAATTAGCTTTAATATTTTATCTAGCTATCTCCTTAACACAAATTAATAGCATTTAAAATCAAAGCAATATTTCGCCTTTCTTTGAATAGAAAACATTCAATTTTAATTATGAAAATTAAAAAAAAATTCCCCTTTTCTTTTTGAAATCTCATACATTTTATAATCCTAAATTCGAAATCTATTCAACAAATAAGTTTTAAATTTCTTTGTTTCTCTATCGTTTCTTCTCTATTCTACATATTACATGAGAGTTATGGTTCGTAAAGTTTTTATTTATCTCATTGAATTTAATAGTATAGGCAGCGGGATTATAATAAACGATTTTAAAATATAAAAACTCGTCAAGAACAATTATAATTTTTGTGTGTATGTAATATTATATGTGCATATGTTGTTTTGAATATTTGATTTTGAGATATATATTAGCCTTGTAAATACCATCCGCTTAAAAAAATAAAAAAAAATAAAAACCTTTATGAGAGGCCCCTCCTCGCCAAAAATTCTAGCTCTGCCAATGGTGGGATTACAGAAACCAAAACGTTTTGCTGCGACTTGCGAGGGCTGGTACATGTGAACTTGTGACTCCAACTAGGTAAGACTTAAGAGCCAAATCTAATTTGGGGCATTCTATCCTATATTTGTGGACAACGATCAAATGCTAAAGATTAAACAAACACAATATGTTCTACTGCTTAGCAAAAAAAGCTACAAACCCTTTGCTTATCAACAAAAAAAGACAAGTCCTTGCACTAGATATACTTTCAAATTACGTTGAGTAGCAACCTGATATATGTATTCGGACGAATTATAAAACAATTGACACACTCCTGGCTTCCAAAATTCAATTCTTTTACTTTATATAAACTTGAAAAAACATAATCGGCATCCAAATTAAAGTTTAGTCTTATTCAACGTATTGATTTTCAATCGTTAATTGATATACTATAATTTGGAACTTCAACGCCTAGACGCATGCTTATGTGTAAGAAATTTAAAGTGTCAAATTCGGCACATTATTCTTCATTATTTTATTCACTTCCTTTTTTTTTTTTAATATCCTAAATAAAACCTCCCAATATTGTACTAATTAATTATATATAAATGATTATGGTGTGTTTAAACTTCTTTCATTAATTACTACATATTTTCTACACTCACAATGTTTGCCAGCTCGCTATATAATCAACTTAAATCAGTTAAATCCATCATGCAATGCATTTCCTTCCAATTTTTTGTGATAAACTAATAGATAATTGACTAAATAAACATCCTGCAAAGTTTCATTAAAAATTTCCAAGTTTTTCTTACAATTTCCGTGGTTTCCATGTAATTTTTATCGATATCGATATTATCCCGATATTTCCATCGATATTTCCGTGTTTTCGGACTACCGATATTTCCGATATTACCGATATTTTCTTCCTTGCTTACGATGTATAATTCGTGCCATAAAAGGTAGGGACTCAAATATATAGAAAAATCACTTTACAACATAACACGATGCCTTAAAAGAGAAGGAAAGTGTGTCGTATAAATTGTCAAATATGACATACAACGCTTAAGCCGTAAATATTTTTATTTAATGACTTGCACAAAAGTGATGCCGTGAATGCTACATTATGTGCAAGCATTACGACATGAACTTTACGAATGTCGTGAATAATATCATTTAAGGCATGCCAGTACTGTACGCTATATATTTCAAGTCATAAAAGACCCAAACTGTTGTAGTGAATTAAGAAGACTCTTGATATTGGTGCTCTTGAAACAGGGAAATGATTAAGATAATAGTCTTATACGTCCTTGTGGTATACGTTGGAACTCACATTATGGAACTGTAATTAGTATTATTGTTATGTTTCAACCCGTAGTGCAGGTGGATTAAAGGTGATTGCAACCAAGATAATTTAAGTGAAACAAATAGGTTATTAAAAAAAAATACAAACTTTTGATTTTGTGTTTCACCTTTTTTTTATGAGATTTATATTGGAAATTACAAATAAGTTATCATAAGCATTATAAAAGAGAAATCAAGATATTTTGAATACGGTGACGTTAGTGGAAGTATGCAAGCAAATACTACAATTTTCGGGAATGATGACTTTGAGAGCTTGTTTCATGATGCATGAAAGTGTTGTGAGGAAAATATTGTTCCTCACAGGGAGGATTTACATTTCGTATCGGAATATCAAAGTGCAAAGTTGAAAGACTCGCAAACTTCCATTACTGTCATGTGGACTTTTATTTTCAAGTCTTTGATATACAACTAAAAGAAATGAGTGATTGCTTCAATGAGGTAAGCACCGAGTTGCTTCTTTATATGGCATGTTTGAGTCTTGTGAATGATTTTGATTTTTTTTGCGGAACAAAGAATAGTTCATTTCAGCCAATTTTATCCTCCAGATTTTGATTGTGTGGACCTCATGAATCTTCCAATTCAACTTAACAATTATATTCATGATATAAAGATGCATAGTGAGTTTCCATCATTGAAGGAATTAGTGATCTTTCAAAGGAATTGGTGAAGACCGAGAGGTGTGGAAACTACAAGTTAGTGTATAAGTTTCTTATATTGGTCTTTGTATTATCGGTTGCAATCGGTTCAGTAAAGAAGTGTCTTCCGCTATGAATATTGTCAAAACACCACTGCGTAACAAAATGGGAGATCAATGATTGAGTGATAGCTTGATTGTTTACATTGAGAGATATGGTTTTGCTTTTATGTATAATGAGCCTATTATGTGACATTTTCATGAATTGAAACCTCGCCGGCAACATTTGTAGAAAGACATCAATATTGTCTACCATCTAAAAAGATTTGGTTCACTACATTTTATTAGAACCTTGACTTACATCATGATGATGATGATGACGACGACGATGATGATTAGAGTAGTGCGTTGGACTTAAATCAAGATGTAGACGACGAAAATGATAACAATGATGTGCTTGACTTACATCATGATGACGACTATAATGATGATGAAAATATGAGCGTGTGAAGATAGTAGTGTGCTTGACTTACATAATGATGATAACGACAATAGTAAGGATATTGGCCAAAAGACTCAACAACAATAGCAATGCAGATGTGGCCCGAAAACTCTTGTATCCAAGAGCAGCAACAACAGCAACCATACATGACGATGCATGATCAACAATGGATGGAACCATGCAAGCCCTACTTGAGGCATCCGTCCTTACTAAATGCACTTCGAAGAAAATTTTGAAAGGGTCAATTATCGATCAATTCTAATATAATTGCTCCTTAACTCTTATAATTTACAACTTTGTAAACAATTAGAACGAACTCAAGTTTATGAAATAAATTAACCTGTCTTAACTATCATATTTCTAGTGTTTCTACCATTTAATATATCTAATATGGATAATGCTTAGGAGTTAGGATATGGGTTCATTGCATCACCTTATACAACATGGAAATGCCTCAGTACAATTGTAAATGTACTGTTTGGTAAATAATTGAACAAATATTCTAGATATTGTGTTTTATTGTTTTGTTGATTGTTTTAGCTTGAAGTCACCCCACTAATAGTAATTATTGGCTCCGTCCTTGATCAACGGAGTCTATATTGGAGCAATAGGTACCCACACTACAAAGAAAACAGTTTTTAGGCAAATAAATTTAGTTGTGCAAACTGACATTTCGTTGCCTTAGGTTTTGTTCAACAAAAATTCGTTAGGCAACCTTCGTTGCGCGAAACTTTGCCGACGAAAATAGAAGCCGTCAGCTAATAGTACTTTGCCCAACAAATGTTCTAGCGATCCTTTCGTCGAGCAAAATTGCATTGTCCAACTTTGCTTGACGAACCTTACATGCCCGACTAAAATATTTCATCTAGCAAAGTTTTAATTTACCAAAAAAATAATAAATATAATATATTTAACCCAACCTAAATTTCGTCAGGTAAGATTTATAAACAAAAATAAATTAAAAAATGTAAAAGGCTTGCCTGACGACATACATCATCGCAAACTGTTGACTGAGATTGACTTAAGTGAATGCCACATAATCTGCCACATAATTTGCCACATAATCTGCCATGTCATCAATATTTCTGTTGAACGTTAGTTAGGATGGTTATGTGTAGCTTACACAGTAAGCAAGGTGGTTAGGCTACTAAAGTGATATAAAAGGCTGATTGCAACTTAATGTTTGTAAGAAATAATCATTCTATCAATACAAAACCTTTCATATTCTTTCTAGTTTTATCTCTAAGTTTTCTTCTACATTCTCTGTATTGCTTCTTTCTTCTTCTTTCTGCGATTCTGATCTTCTCTGTTAAGATGGTATCGAGCCAAGGTTGATTTTTTTTTGGGGTATTTTCTTCCGCTGAGTAATTCTTTGGGATCGATCGTTGAAGGCTTTGTTGGAGTTCTTGGAGGATTGGCGACGTTTTTGAAGGCTTGCTGATAAATTTTGGGTCGAGGGTCTTTCAATCAGGTTGTTGGTTTCTTTCTTTACTCTTTGCACATCAAGTGTTTGAGTTTTTGCTTCAGTGAAGATATATGGCGAATTGGGATGTTTCTTTTGGTTTTTCATATATGGGTTATTTTTTGGATTCGATTAAGGCTGATGCCAAGATTTGTTGACAATAGAAGAATTATATTTGTGGTGTGATATGATTGAAGTTGACCATTTGTGAAATTGCTGAAATTTTAGCTTTTGAAGTATATACATATAGAAGGCCGATGCCAAGAAGTAGTGAGAATATCTTGAAGAGTTGATAATTGTTGAAGTTTGGAATTAAACAGATTTGTGATTGAGATTGAGATTGCTTGTCAGTAATACGTGATAAAGATGTTTGATAAATCAGTACGCATTGAAAGTTTGCTTGGTATGTTAACTGTGAAGTTGCAAGATGACAATTTTGTTAAGTGGAATTATCAGTTTCAGTCGATTTTACGAGGGTATGATTTCTTTGAATTCTTTACTGGTGAGTCTCCTTGTCCACCAAAGTTTGTGATTAACACTAAGAATGGAGTGACTACAGAAATCACAGACGCTTATAAATCTTGGGTTAAAAAAGATATGGCACTATTAAGTCTGTTAATTGCTACTCTGTCGAATGATGCTATGGAATATGTAATAGGGTGTAAAATGTCTCATGAATCCTGGATAAATTTACAAGACCGTTATGCGTCTGTGTCAAGGGCTAGGATCAATCAACTCAAAATTGAGTTTCATACAATTCAAAAAGGCAGTGATTCTATTGACAAGTATTTGCTTCGGTTGAAAGCCATTCGTGATCAGCTTGTGTCTGCAGGGGAGAGGATTACTGATAATGATGTTGTTATTACTACTTTATCTGGATTACCACCGGAGTTTGATATTGTAAAGACTGTAGTTTTAGCAAGGGAGACTTCTATTCCGCTGAAAGATTTCAGAACGTAGTTGATTGGTGTTGAATCTGCTATAGAAGCAAGGGTCACTACTCTGGCAAGTGGCAGGGCTGTAATGTACGTTCAAGGAGATAGGGTCAAAGGTGTTCATTAGAATTCCGGGTATTCACAAGGAGAGAGTTCAAATGCTGGATCACGAACTGGTGATACTCAAGGCTATCAAGGGAACAATAGGTTTCAAAACAAAAATGGGTATAATACTTCTCAGGGGTCTAATACTTCTCAGAACTACAACAAAAATGGTTATGGGTCTTTCAATAATTCAAGGCCTTATTTCAATGGGAATAGACAGAGATGGGGAAACAATTATAATGGTTCTTTTACTGGGAATAGGTCATCTTGGAGTGGTAATACAACACATGACTGCTTAAGCTCCACCTCCACCTCCACCTCCTTCTCTTACTGCATTTTCTGCTTAAGCTCCATCTCACATGACTGCTGCAGAATATGGTCAGAATGTTCAACATTTCTCTGCCGCTGATACATGGGTGTTGGACACTGGTGCTTCACACCATATAACATCTAATCTTGGGAATCTAAATCAACCTGTGCAGTACAATGGTGATGAGAAAATCACTATTGGTAATGGGGGAAGGTTTGACTGTTAATCATATTGGTTCTACAACACTTTCAACTCCACATCATTTAATGTTTCTCAAGAATGTCTTACATGTTCCCACCATTACTGTTAATCTCTTATATGTTAAGAAATTGTGTGAAGATAATCATTGCTGGTTCATATGTGATGAGAGTGTATTTTTTATACAGGACAAGGCAACAGGAATGATATTGTACCACGGCAAGAGTAGGGGAGAGCTATATGAGATCCATGTGACTGTGTTTTCAAGAAGATTGGTTGCTGGTCAAAATAAAGTTGTTGCATTACTTGGGAAAGCTATAAAGACTTCTGTTTGGCATAAGAGACTTGGGCACCCATCTGCAGAAGTGTTTGATGTTATGCTTAGAAATGTTAGACAGACTGTTAGTGAAGATTCCTCACCTTCTGTTTGTTCTTCATGTCTTTCTGGAAAAATGTGTAGACAACCCTTTCCTGTCAAAGAAACTAGGGCTAGTTTTATGTTTGAAAAAGTACATTCTGATATTTGGGGGCCTGCTCTAGTTAAGTCTCTAGAAGAGTTTAGATACTATGTAAGTTTTGTGGATGAGTTCTTAAGATTTGTATGGATCTTCCCTATTATCAATAAATCCGATGTTTTCCAAGTATTTGTCAAGTTTTTTGCATTTGTTACAACTCAGTTCAATTCTGTAATTAAGTGCTTACAGATAGATGGTGGTTCTGAATATATGAGTAACAGATTTCAGTCCTTTTTGGCACTCAAAGGAACTGCACATTCAATATCATGCCCTTACACACCTCAGCAGAATGGTCTTGCTGAGAGGAAACATAGGCACATCGTAGAGACTGCAATTACACTTTTAACCGAGGCTGAAGTTCCATTATAGTTCTGGAATTATGCTTCTAATCATGCTGCATTTCTGATCAACAGAATATCGTGTAAGGTTTTGGGGATGAAGTCTCCATATCAGTTCCTGTTTAAACAAGACCCTGTGTTGCATACATTGAAGATATTTGGATTTGTAGTTTATCCATTCTTAAGGCCGTATACTAAACATAAATTGCAACCTAGGTCTAAGCAATGTGATTTTCTTGGTTTTGTGGCTGGATATAAAGAGGTAGTCTGCTATGATTTGAGTAGTACTAAACTAGTATTGTCAAGACATGTGGTGCATGATGAGACTACATTTCCATTTAAAACAAGACTGCAGTTGTCTTCTGGGAAGCTCAGTAAGGTCCAGAGTACAACAATGTCTCCAATCATTGTTCAAATACCATGTTTTGCTCCTGATCCCACAACATCTCCAAACCATGCCGAGTCATATGCAAATCTAGAAATTATGGAAGACCAACCAATGGATAGCTTACAGGTTCCAAGCTCATCAAGTCAAGATTCCTAGAATCTCAATGCTCATACTCATAGCTCTCCTACTCTCTCAACATCAACTCCAAGTACAATATCATTGTTGCCTGTCCATAGTCCTTCCCAGTTAGAGGTAATACTACCAATCTCTTCTCCTATGGTTGAAACTAATGAAGAATCAGCTCATAATATGGTCACCAGGTTGAAGTCCGGTGCCATTTCAAGAAGATCTTACACAGGTTATATTGGCTCATTTCCAGAATTACAAACTCTACAGATGGATAATTTGTGTCACTTTACTGGGGGATTTTCATTTATTGCTGTAATAAAAGATTTGGAGGAACCATCAACATTCTGAAAAGCTTCTACAAGCCCACATTGGCAAAGTGCAATGCAAGAAGAGTTTAATGCACTCAAAACTCAAGGAACTTGGCAGTTGGTTTCTTCTCCACCAAACATAACCATTATTGGAAGTAAGTGGGTATATAAAGTTAAGAAGAATCCTGATGTGTATCGAGGTATAAAGCCAAACTTGTGGCTCAAGGTTTTTCCCAAGAACAAGGCATTGACTACTCAGAAACTTTTAGTCCAGTAGTACGACACACTACTGTAAGACTCATTTTATCCTTAGCAGCTATAAATAAATGGGAATTGAGGCAGTTAGATATCAAAAATGCATTTCTGCATGGTGACTTATAAGAAGAGCTGTATATGAAATAGCCTCAAGGATTTATTGATCAAACTAAACCCCATTATGTCTGAAAGTTGATTAAATCGTTGTATGGGTTGAAACAAGCCCCTCGGCCATGGAATTCAAAGTTCACGACCTATTTACCAGCTTTGGGATTTGTAGCATCTTCATCGGATACCAGTTTATTTGTGAAGAATGATGACAAGGATGTGGTGGTTCTTTTACTATATGTGGATGACATCATTTTGACAAGATCAGATGCTAGCAAAGTTCAGTAAGTTATTGATGATTTGGCAGGTGTTTTTGACTTAAAGGATATGGGCAAACTTACTTACTTCTTGGGACTTCAAATTCACTACAAGGAGAATGGAGACATATTTGTGAATCAATCAAAGTATGTTAAAGATCTTATTCATAAAGCTGGAATGGAGTCTTGTAAACCTGCAAATACACCATGCAAACCTCACAATCAAATGCTATTGAATGAGGGCATACCATTGTAGGACTCTACATTGTACAGAAGTTTAGTTGGTTATCTCACATTTACACGTCCTGATATAGCTTATGCTGTGAATTCAGTGTGTCAATTTATGACTGCTCCGACAGATATACATCTCACTTCTGTCAAAAGAATTATTCGATATCTTCAAGGCACTGCAGAATGTGGAATTACATATGCAGCTGATACTGACATACATTTGACAGCATTTTCTGATGCTGATTGGGCTGCTGATTTGAACACAAGATGATCTGTGACTGGTTATGTGGTTTATCTTGGTGGGAATCCAATCTCTTGGCAGTCAAATAAGCAATCATCTGTCTCTCGAAGTTCTACAGAGGCGGAATACAAGGCACTTGCTCATCCTGCAGCAGATGTGGCATGGATTCGGCTAATTTTAAAAGATTTGGGAGTTGCATTACCTATTCCACCAACTATATTCTGTGATAATAAATCTGCAATAGCACTCAATGCTAATCCGGTGTATCATTCGAGAATCAAACACCTTGATACGGATTATCATTTTGTCCATGAAAGGGTGCATAATGGTGATCTGTTGGTTGAGTATCTACCTACTGATGAACAGACCGCTGATATTCTTACTAAAGGATTACATAGTCCGCCATTCACTTGTCATTGTTTCAATCTCAAACTTGGTTTCCCTAGTTGAGATCGAGGGGGGATGTTGACTGAGATTGACTCAAGTGAATGCCACATAATCTGCCACATAATCTGCCATGTCATCAATATTTCTGTTGAACGTTAGTTAAGATGGTTATGTGTAGCTTACACAGTAAGCAAGGTGGTTAGGCTACTAAAGTGATATAAAAGGCTGATTGCAGCTTAATGTTTGTAAGAAATAATCATTCTATCAATACAAAACCTTTCATATTCTTTCTAGTTTTATCTCTAAGTTTTCTTCTACATTCTCTGTATTGCTTCTTTCTTCTTCTTTCTGCGATTCTGATCTTCTCTGTTAAGACAAACCTTTTTAAATACAAAAATACTATAAACTATATTAAATTATGTTTAATTTTAATTAAATAATTTTTATTATATTAAATCCACAAGATACCACAATACAAAAAAAATTCATTTTATTATTAAAACTAAAATGTTTGTACAATTGTATTAAAATGAAAAAAATAAATTTAATCTCGGGACTCTGGAAGGCGTCAATCTCTAGAAATTATTAGAAATTATAAATACTGAAAATAACCGCAGAGCCAGCTACTCATTCATCCTATGCTCAAAAACATGGGGTGAATTGTTCAGAGCTTCTTCATGAGTTTCTAAAGTCTTGTAGTGCATGCGCAACTTGTACTTCCACTACTTGAAACACTGATTCCACAGCCAAGTTATATTGTCGGACATATTCGGCACTTCCAGATGGATCTCAAAGTTGTTTAGAAGTAGACAAAATACAAATTTCATTTATTATAAAAGTACACTAATTAAATAAGTAATTATCTCGAATAAGTAAAATTATTAAAAATAATAAAATTTAAAAAACAAAACACATTTACCTTTATCGCCTCCTTTACCTCGGTGGAGACATTCTTCCATTTAGAGGTTGTCATGGGACACCTGTTGGAAAATTTAATAATAATATTATTATATTAAATTTATTAATTGAATGGAAATTAGAAGTGGAGTCTTTTGGTAGAAAGAGGTATCTACTCAAATGAAGAGTTGCAACTTTTGACTCTTCATGAATAATCACATGCTTTCAAAAGAGGTCTATCACATTCTATAAATAAGGAAACCCCCTATAATCACAAGATAACTTTTCATTGTTTACATAATCATACATAGAGTGCATTAAATATTAGAGTCTCATTAAGTCCATATGAGAGAGTTTT